ATACTTTTATTCAGCAAGGATTCATTAAATTGATCAAATGTGACAGTAAAGACATTTATAATGTTACAAAACATTTCTTTTGATTAAATACTGTTCCTTTGAACATTCTATTAATTAAGAATCCTGAAAAAATTGTATCAGAGTTTACAGAAAAATATTAATCCGCACAATGATTTTCAACATTGTTGATCATTTAAAAAATGCTTTGTGAGCATCAAATCAGGATATTAGAATGATTTCTGAAGGATCATGTGACACTGAAGACTGGAGTAATGGCCGCTGAAAATTCAGCTTTGCTATTACAGTAATAAATTATATTTAAAAAATATATATAGAGAGAGAGAGAACAGAAATGTTAAATTGTCATACTATTTCACAATATTGCTGTTCTTACTGTAACTTTTGAACAAGAGTAGCCTATACATTTAAAAAAAAAAAAAAAATTCCCTGCTATCTACAGACCTGCGACTCATTGAAACAAATGTGTTGCATATAGTAGTTACTATATTATATAGTAATATAAACCTTCTACAAAGTAGTAGGTTTGTAGATTTAATCACCAAAAAACTTAAATTTAAAACATCTCACATACACTTTAACAAACAAACAAACCTGTTTTGATTGTCTCACAGAGAAATGTCAGGACCCAGGCCTGTAGTTCTGAGTGGCCCATCAGGAGCTGGAAAAAGCACCCTGTTGAAGAGACTCATGAAAGAATATGAAGGGGTTTTTGGATTCAGTGTCTCCCGTATGTAACATTACAGACAAATTAGACACAAGACAAGTAACCAAATGACAAGAATGCTGGATGAATATTTTGATACCTTGATCTTTCTTTCTGCAGACACCACCAGAAATCCTCGGCCAGGAGAGGAAGATGGAAAAGGTAAGGCAGAATTCCCCACTTAACAACTATAATAAATGAGAGGCTTGCTTTATCATGTCAGATAATAGCTCAGAAACAGAATAAATAACAAACTGAAATATATACCTGATTCTACTTGCCCAGTGTAGAAAGTGAATGAGAGAAAGATAAGCAAGTGGAGCATACACCACCTACATTCCCATCCAATTTGAAAGCCCCTTCTGCCTTAGCCCATAACTGTCTTCTTTGTTGCTTCTTACTCCCAAGTGAACTGTTTCGATTAAATTCCAAACATATCACCACATTTCACATGGGCAAATTTCACTTTTTATTCCCCAATGTGCCTTTGTCATTTTCTCTAGGGCTGAATTGTCTCCCAATGCTTCTGGGGGCTACTTTACTTCCTGTAGCAGACGTCCTGTCCTCTGAGACATCTGAAGGTGTAGATTTGGTTTCCATTATTGGTCATAATTGGTTATTACTGATTATTGGCATATCTAATGTGATGAGAAAGTAATGGGGGTTACTTTCATCTTCTAAAATCTATAACTTTGTAAGCGAATTACATTTCAGGCCAAAATGACAAGATATGATTGACATGTTCTCTCTGACTTGAATGCCAGTGTGCACTTCGGAGTAAAAAGCCTTTGAAAATAGCCCCCTGTGTTCCCTAGGTTTTCTATGTGATGTGAACTATGACATCACACTTCCCACAGCACAAATTCCCCGAGACAATCATTAGCATCACAACAGAGCCTTAAAATCATTTCTGGGCCATTTAATGAACAATCGAAATATTTCTAAAATCTGTTTAGGTCACATGGGCAAATAATTTTTTTCTGCACAATTTACACAAATAAATTCAATGGACAGACTGAAAAACAACAGTAGAGATATTTAAGGTGGAATTGAGGAATACTGCATCTAAAAATTATTTTGTAACTATAACCAGCCAATTTTATTGGTTTCTTATTCTTATGATGTTTTTCCAGACAAATGTTGTTATGCTAATGGTAGTCTCCATTGTAGTGCTGCCACGGATGATGTCAGTGTTTTGCCCTCCTGTAGTTGTGAATTGTTTGTCTTGTGTTGCCTGCAGAACCATTACTTCCCGCTTTAGATCCCCTCTGATGTGCTGTTGTGGAGTTAAACCATCAGAATGGTATGAATCCAGAACTGGAGCTTTCTCATGACTTCTTTGTGAGATTATTTTATGTGCGAACACAGCTATTTATGTATTTTTGAAGTTTAGAGTTTAGAAGTTTCATTCACACCATTCCCATCATATTTAGTAAGATCAACCATTTTAACGCCGTATCATAGGAACGGAGATCGTGAAATAAACATTTGGCGCCCTCTGCTGAGCATAAAGAATTCTGTTTTGTTTAGCAGTGAAAAGACTTGAAACGTCACATAGAAATTATTTTATCATTTAGTCATCCTCTGAACATTTCTTTTTTTTATATAAACCTTTCTTTTAATAGTTTACGAGTACCTGGTTATTAGAATATATAAAATGAACACCCTTTCAGCTCATTTGATGACTAGCAACAGACCAGCTTACAATGTCCCCTTGTTAACGGTCACAATTTGTTTGGTTTTACAATTAATCTTCATTTATTTCTGTCCTCAACCCAGATTACCACTTTGTCATCAGAGAGAAGATGCAAGAGGGAATTGACAATGGTGAATTCATTGAGAATGCAGAGTTTTCTGGGAACATGTATGGAACCAGGTACATTTTATTTGTAAATCGACATCTTGTATCTGATCCCATTATCCTCTTAATTCAACACAGAGGTACTTTACTGCTAATTCTATGTCTTCATACTAATGCCCAAAAGTAATGATTTTGAAGTATCTAAGATTGTCCACAAGAGTATTGTCGATAACAACAACAAATGTAAATGTTATTGCTCATCAAATTTACTATCACTGCAGCAAATCATCCATAGAAGATGTTCAGGCACAAAACCCCATCTGCATCTTGGATGTTGACATACAAGGAGTGAAAAACATTAAAAAGACTGATTTGAACCCCATATATATCTCCATCCAGCCACCTTCAGTTGAGATCCTGGTAAGTTGATAGAAATATTCTCAGTTTCATTATACAGCATTTAAATTGTGATCAAATACAGGAAGACGTTTTATTGTCCTACAGGAAAAGCGTCTGAGAGACAGACAAACAGAGACAGAGGACAGTCTACAGAAGCGTCTGGAGGCAGCGAGGATTGACATGGAGCTCAGTAAGTGACACTTTCAGTAAGTCGGTTGTGCTTGAGCAAAAACCTTTATTCCCTTGCCATTTTCTCCTCTGTAGGTGAGGAACCGGGAGTTTTTGATATGGTAATCATTAATGATGACCTGGAAGAAGCCTATGAGAAACTCAAAAGTGTTCTTATTGAGGTAAAACTATTTTATATCTGTAAAAAGATTGCATATAGTTTTTTTTAATTTCATAAATAAATAACACTGAGTTGTTGGGTTTTTCCAACAGGAAATTGAGAAGGTGCAAGATGCCAAGAAATAGGAAAGGAAAAGCGGCACTTTTGACCATTCTGCCCGACAACACATGAAAGACATGAAGACATGAAGCCTTTTTTTCCAGCCTTGTACGGTGCAATCATGGTGTTGGTTCTCATGTCAGACTCTAAAAACTATTAACTTAAATTGCTAATCAAGATGGGTGCTATGTTCAAAGGAGTGTGCTATAGAGCTTTTCTCTGTGGGTGAGAGAAAATCTATGCATGTATGTTAAAAACATCTCACTTCAATTGAAGACTCTTCTCTATTAACTCTCTCGAGCATGTTTGCACCTTGAATAATGAAGGGAGAAAACTGTAACAAATACGAGTTCAGTTGATGATGATAGTTTGTTTATCATCAGCATGTTAGTTCTATAGTAGAGAAATGATTGTTTTTAATATGTATGATCTTTGTAGAGAGCTATTACATCATGTTTGATTCTCAGTTAGCCTTCAACATGTGAATGTATTCAGTTGAATGATTAGTTTGAGTTGCACCTTCATGTTTCTAAACTTGTGTTGAATATAAAATAATATCACTTTGGGTTAGCTGAAATAAAATAAAATGAGCTACAGCTACATTAAATAATTTCTCCATTATCGTTTTCCTAGTTCTCTTTTCTCTTTTAATGTCAAAGTGAAATAAAGTTAATAATCTCCTAATTCATTGTGTTATAAATAAATGTAGCATTATAATATGCAAAGATATTAAACATATAAATAACACGAAGCACATTTTTACGCCTCTGACATCAGTTGTTCCCATTCCCAAACGCACACCGTAAGCGTCAGTAACCATGGCAACTGCAAACATGTCGTGGTTTCTAAATAAGCTGTTAGCTGGAAAACAAATATGATATAGATTATAAAACTGCTATTGTTAAGGTAAGATTTTTCAGTTTTAAGTGTGCATTATAAAACAAATGGCAAACAACCTCAATCCGACTAAAGCTGTTTTATTACTGTAAACAAAAAGTGTACTGGCAAAGTAATTACATTCGGGTCTTTCCACTTCTGGAGAAATGGATAATGTGTAATATCTGATGTTTTTGGTGAAATTCTTTGATTATGGTTCGTTTTTATATTGAGACAGTAACTGGGATTTTCTAAATGAACCTTTAGAAATAATGTACAGGCCTCATACAGTATACAGTTGTCACAAACACTATCTCATAATGTATGACACATTTTGATAGATAAAATGTTTTATGTGTTGCGATTTTATACTTCTGAATCTATTAAATATATCTAAATATATCTTTGTTCTGGATCTATTAATGTCTATTTCTGCTGGACAACTGTTGAAAAAAACAGCATATGCTGGTTTGTTTTGAAGCATGGTAGCTGGTTTGAGCTGGTTTAAGCTGGTCCTGAGCTGGTTATTAGCTGATACTGAGCAGGAGCTCGTTGCTTAACGACCAGCTTAAACAAGCCCATGAACAGCTAAGGACCAGCTGCCATGCTTCAAAACATGCCTAACCAGCATATGCTGTTTTTTTTTTCTCAACAAGCAAAACACTAATATATTTGTCCGTTAGTAACACGTACGTTAGCTGACATTGTTCATTGTCTCCCACAGTCTGTGAGATGCTTGAGTCATGTCTAGCAGTAAGGAGCAGGCCTCCATCAGTCAGGTGATGTGTTTCCTCCATGAGTGGGATCAGGGCAGTAAGACGGTGCGCAGTCGAATGCTAAGTGACTTTCTGGCCAAGAACACTGGAAAGATGTGTCTTGAACTGGAGCTTGAGTTCGCACAAGTTGCCAGCCTGTTCCTTGCTCGGCTCACTGCCTGGATAAGACTAACGTATGGTCATGCTTTATCTATCTGTGCTCTAAAATATTTGATACCTTCTGAATATCTGACTATTAAACTTTAGTTGAACTGAGAGACATCAGTCCTGCCATGTATGCCTCCTTACATTTTTTGTTTCCAGCTATATGTTTGGAACGTGTCTAGACCTTCAGCTGAGAGCAGTGGGGGTTTTCCTGTCTGCTAACAGCAGGCAAAAGACAAAATGAATGCTGTGGATATAATTTTAGTACTAAGCATGCAAGATCTTTGTGCAAATTAAACATCCTATCCTATGGTCTACCCTAACATGGTTTCATTTTGTTTGTTTGCATGATCAGTCATCAGTACATGATTGAGTTTCTGGAGGTGGGTGGAGTGCTTACCCTGCTTGAGATTCTAGGACAAGACAAACTCAAGGAAGGGGATAAAACCGAGGGTCTTCGCCTGCTCCAGATCATCGCCAACGCGGGCCAAAAATATAAAGAGCTAATCTGTGAAAGCTATGGTACTTACACAGCACAACAAACTACCAATCAAGAAGTGAAACAGCTCCAGCTCTTTTTTCAGTGATGTATTATGGAATTAGATTTTGCAACATTTCCATGAAATATTGTGAGGTTAAAACCTTGCATGATTCAATCTGGATCCGTTTTGAAGGTTGGGGATTTTGACAGGCAAGCTCTGACAACTTTATATACACACATACTGTATACTGGCTAATGAACTGATTTCAGCTCTCGCATCTGTTCTTCTCTGATTGACAGGTGTGAAGGCCGTAGCTGAATGTTTGGCCAAATCTGAGACAGAGGTGACTCAGGAGACCGCCGCCGCCCTGCTAGAATCTTTGGCCCATGGAAACCCCAAATACCAGAATCAGGTGTACAAGGGCCTGATCGCCCTGCTGACCTGCGCCTCACCAAGAGCACAGCAGCTTGTTTTACAGATCCTACGTATAATTCAAGTACAACGGTGTTGCAGGATGACAAGAGCACCAGAGGAATCTTGAATTGTTTTAAAAAATCTGTACTAAGTTTGCATTAACTTTTTTGTATCAAAAAATCAAGATTTTAAATTAATTTATAAGGGAAAAGTATATATTGTACAGTAAACTGGTCACCTTTTTACATTTTAGCTGTTTTGCAGCTCACTTTAACTGTCTTGCGATATGATAGTTTAATTTTTTAAAGTACAAATATTTCAGATAGTTTCGGATAGAATATGAGCTCATGAAAACTGCACTCATAATAAATAATTATTTAAGAACTAGATATATAATTTTATTATTTTTTTTTTTAAATATAATTTATCAAATTAGTTTTTTGTTTTCTTTTCTTTTGTTTTGTCCAGCCCATTGTAAAAACAGCCCATCACAGCATAGTGGAACCCTTATTAAATCTGCTGAGGTCCTTACATTTAGAAGTGCAATATGAAGGCAAGTGTACATTTCAAATTTGACATTATTTGTTGTTGCTTACCCTACTGTGAATCCTACCGTTTCATTTGTACTTTTGTTTTTACTTCCAGCAATAGAACTGATAACAGAGCTCATGCAATCAGAGGTTAGACTGGCTCTGCTCAGGGGTCTGGTGGCTTTTCTCAAACCAACTAAAGAGAGAAATCCCAAACACAAGATCCTAGAGGGTATGATCTGTTGCTCATTTTCTTTCAATTAAAGCAAGGCATAAAACTTGTGCAACTGCCAAGGTATTTGTTGTTTGCAACTGAAACAGTGGTTCTCCAATAACAATACTGCTTTGTATTATGATCACGTTGCAGCGTGGAGACGTCCTTAATTCAACCTCCCAATTGTTACCTTTTGGGCTTTGTAATTTAATTTGGAGCAGATGTAGACGAGATGAGAAACAAACATGGATTGTGGCTTGAATTAGCATCTTTCTCAGTTATTGACTTGTCTGACATAAGAGTCATAAACAGTCCTGTGTTGTATTTGAAATTCAGCTGAAACAATTCAATTGTTTTGTTAGATCCAGAGGTGGCCAAAATGACTGATTCACTCCCTGTGCTTCTCCAGCAAGCAGCTTCTGCAAAAACCATCAGGTACTTCAAACAATGGATACATTCAAGACATATTGCATGGAAAATATTATATAAGACATGCTGATCTGTGTGTTTATTATGTACGATATATTTACATGATGTTACAGGATTCTGGCACAGAGAAGTGAAGAGATATCCAAAGAGCTGCTCTCTCTCAGAGTGATCCATCACTTACTGTACGCAATGGGGAACCAGGAACATGCAGATTCCCAGAGACAAGCCAGCCTGGCTTTGGAGGTTCAATTAAAACTACCCCCTACCCACACTCACTCATTCTTGCTTATGCTGATTCTGCATCAGTCAAGTAAATGCAGTATTGGACAAGCAATAGACCAATGAGAATCTGATATTAATGTGTAATGTCTGTTTAGCATTTTGTGCGCATGTATCCAGTGGTGGAAGAGCATGTATGCAGAGCAATGGGCACCAGACTGTTTTGAGTCTTTTATGGTGAGGTCTTATTGTGTTGTGTGTATATATTTCAATACAAATATCAATAGTCAATATAAAAATATTAACTTTAAAATGTGTTTGTTTGCATGTTGTTTATAGCACAATGCTGATGTCCTACATTTGAACATGGATGACATTCAAGCTGACATTTTACACTCAAATAAAGTGAACATTTCATGTGGTGAGTTGACAAATCTAGAGAGACATAGCTAGGTTGTATGTTTTTTGTCTTTATTTGAAAGACACCAGTGCTTAATTACAATGTCCTTTCATTTTCCTTTTATTTTTCTACAGTGCTTGAGGAACAGAATTCAGATTCTTGAACACAACCTTTTTTTTCTTGTTGTTGATGGTGTTTTTATACATAAAATAAGTGATTTCAAATAACAGTCTTCTATAGCATATTTCTTTGGTTCAATTTAATATGGGTGCACTAGAAAACTCAAGCATTACATTATAAAATAGATTGTAATGTCTATGTCATGTAAGCATCATAAAGTATGCTCACTTTAGCTAATAGCTATATTTAGCTATAACTCTTGAATGAAATTAGATATTTTCGCCAAATTTGGTACACATCTGTATGAGCTCATTCTTTGGTGAAATAAAAAAATGCAGCTTTTGGCCATTTGGTGGCGCTATAATAACAAAAAAAAAACTAAACAAATGGCTATAACTACACTTTACACAATTAAAGTGATTATTACGTTTTGAATATTGATATTTTTCTTACAAAAACGCATCGATTCGCTACAGGAGGCCTTTGTTCACCCCCCGGAGCAGTGTGCAGCAATTTTTTATGGTTGGGCACTTTTTATTTCACTTCTTTTGGACTAAAGCGCTGCAACACCCGCTGACTGCAGTGATAGAAATTGGAATAGCCAGGACAATTTTTAATATAACTCCGACTGGATTCGTCTGAAGGAAGAAAGTCATATACACCTAGGATGACTCTGGGGTGAGTAAAACACAGCCTAATTTTCATTTTTGGGTGAACGAACCCTTTAAGTATCAACTTGGTCTCAGATGTTTCTCCTAAAATTGCTTAGGAGAAAAATAAAATGGATATAAATGAGACGGTCAAAATACATGACGTATAAAGTCACCATCATTGTTGGTTGTTGAAACCAATCAGCAAATGTTTTCTCAGCACATTTTTTTGTGATGAAAAGATCATTCATTAGTTGCAGCAAGGTTGTCATATAATGATTTTACTTGAAATTGATTCAGTGCTAGTAAGTGTGTAAGTCATGCTGCAATGCATTCTGGGTACATAAACTCATCCATGACTGTTTGTCGCCACTGCTGATGTTTGTATGTGGAGTGTCTTAAGTTTGTCTTGCTGGCCAGAAAAAAGATTTTGGCGTACATTTATCCATCATGACAGCTGCATCTGCTTAACCAAACATCTCTATAAACTATTAACAACATGTCTTTATTGCACACTAGTTCAAAAACTGCACATCCATCATTCTCTATCAGCAGCCTTCATTATGAAACACTAC